AACAACGAAAGGTGGCGTTCTCAAATGGTGGGAGAGACCTGGAAAAGAAAAAATTGGAGTTGGTCCATATGGACTTGTGGGGACCAGCTCCTGTATCGACCCTTGGAGGCTCACAATACTACACCACGTTCATTAACGACGCTACAAGGGAGGTATGGGTATATACCTTTAGGAGGTGGAAAGCACATGCAGTGGGAGTAATGAGCCGAATTATGAGCAATGTTGAAAAGCAACCTAAGGTGATGACCCTTAGATGAATTGAGGTTGTGTTCAACCTCAACTAGCCTCGATGAGTAAAGAAGAAGGCTTGGTGCTATCATTACCGATGAAGTAAACTATTAAAGTGGAAGATACAATCAGTCTTCAAGTGGGAGGTTGTTGGGATATGAAGCCTGATTATATCATAAAATCTAGGGATATGATTTAGATATAATTTTGATGTTATATCCTAAATTTAGAGATATGATTTGGATATTATTGCATAGGCTTAGGCTATTAATAGACATGTACTCTCACTTTAATAAGTGCTCTACATATTCTATAGTAAAATTCCTGGTCGTAGATCATTCTGATCGAACTGGATAACCAAATTCTTGTCCTTGTTTGCCCTTCTTGATTTCCTAAGTTTTCTCATAACAATCCATGAATCGAACTATGCCACTACATATTTCGTATTTGTATCAGTTCACACACTCGATAGGCAGATAGGACCATAAGTTCAATTGCCTTTCTCGAGCGATTGAAGAAATGAGGAATTATATTCGTCCATCTAGAGGACCATTCCACCCTTTGGAGCACATGAACCTCTAGAGAAAGTCGACCTAGGCAAATATACAGTCTCTTGGATCACTTGGATCAGCTCTTTACTAGGTGTCGATCAGAAACAACAACTACTTATCTTAGTACGGGAATTCAAGGATTGTTTTACATGGGATTACCATGAAATTCCGGGACTATCCAGAAGCTTAGTGGAGCAACGGTTGCCCACGAAACCATCATTTAGACTGCAAGCAGCCCCTGCAGAGGTTTTAACCGGATTTATTTCCGAAAGTTAGGAATAGATGGAAAGATTGCTCAAAGCCAATTTCATTTGTACTTTTCGGCATCCAAAATGGGTCTCCAACATGGTTCCCGTGGTACAAAAGACCGAAAAGATCCGAATCTGTATCGACTTCCGGAATCTCAACTTGGCAATGTCGAATATGAGTATGTAATTTCAATCGCGAATATGCTCGATGATTCCAATGCGGGATACGAGATTTTCTCATTCATGGATGGTCACTTAGGATACAACCAAATATGTCTAGCCGAAGAGGATGTGCACAAGACGCTGTTTTGATGCCAGGTAGATATTGGTATATTCAAGTAGATTGCCATGTCGTTCGGGCTGAAAAATGCTAGAGCAATGTGCCAACGAGCAATGAATATGATTTTTCATTATTTGATCGGTGTGTGCATGGAAGTATATATCGATATATTGGTGAAGTCCTAAGCATTTGAGTGCCACTTGGAGGATGTTAGAAAGCTTTCATCTGGATCAGATAACACAATTTGAAAATAAGTCCGGTGAAAGGTGCATTCGGTGTACAAGTCAAAAAATTTCTCGACATATTGGTGCACCAAAGAGATATTGAAGTTGATAAGAACAAAGCCAAGGTTGTCTAGGAGCTGGGGCCGCTGCATAACCTCAAGGAGCTGCAATGTGTCCCACTGATGTTGATCGATTATCATCCGAAAATAGGCTAGAAGTTGTGATGGAGTCAGCCAGAGGAAAGAAAAAAAATAGTCTTAAGGGATGTGCAAGAATCTGTGAATATATGGTATTTGTTGGTTGGTCATGAAAACTCCGAGATCTAGAAAATGCACGCCAAAGAGACGGTATAATTTTGAAATATAATTATTTGGATTACAAGATAAATTTTGTCCAAATATTTTTCTGGGACATTTGTATTTCCACGAAATACATAATACAGATCCGAGCCCAACAATTGGCAGATCTACCCTAGCAATTGACAGATTTGGCCAGTGAGACACAACCCTGTCCAGCCCCAACATTAGTCATATTCTTATTCAAAACAGTTTTGGAAATATGAAACCATGGATAAAATCATGTCTCATGTGGTTAACAAAATGGATTTAGTGGGTGAGTTGCCTAATTTTAGGGTATATATATATATATATTAGGAATATGCATTCAAAGAGATGAGATCCTGTTGATCCAAAACATATCAATTTTCTTATTTTCTTGTTGCATAATTTTATTTTATTTTTATTGTTCCTAGTTTCTTGTGCTTTCAATTCCTAAGTTAATCAAAGTTTATTTTCAACTTATATTTTTGTCGTATCTTTTTATCCATATGATTAAAGCTCATTCGATTTTATCATATTAAATCAGCTCCAAATTAAATTCCTATGATCGTTTCCACTTGGATCTGTGTGTGCATCGATTGTTTCCACTTGGATCTGTGTGTGCATCGATTCATGTTGTGAGACCAACCCGAATTCTTTCTTGAGGAGGTCAGGGACCTAATTAGCATCGGTTCCGATAAACCCAAATTCATTAGATCGTCATCGACAAATTTTCAACGATAACACTAACATAAAAATTTTATATCGAAAATCTGCATTTGTTTATAGTGTTTAATTTTGTACAATTACTAAAAAATTACTAAAAATTATATTGTAGCCATTAAAAATTAAATGCCTAAATTAAATTAAATATCATATATTGGAAGAAAATAAAATTTTGATATAATAAATATGTGATTTTTAGTTATGTACATATGTTAATATTTGTACAATAAATATCAACCATTAATGCAAAAATATGCTTAAAATGGAAGATATCGTGCAAATATCACATGCATAAATAGGACCATAATAAATTTGACAGCAAAATAAATTAATCTCGTCAATTAATGAAGTATTTAAATTAATATCTTCCGAGAAAAAAAATGATAAAGATCTTGATGAGAAAGAAAGATGCACAATCAAGTCATTTAAGAATGAAAAACGACATCGGATGAAAAATGAAGAATTATAAAATCTTTCCGTTGGCCAATCATGACGCGCCATGTGGCATTATCCGAAAAGAAAGCCGAGACCACCCCTCCCTATAAATAGGAGTCTTGGCCAATTGATTTGACACACCGAAGTTCATTAAAAAACTCGAGCAAATGAGTAAGTCTCTGGACTCTCTCTGCAATGTTCTTTATGTTCTTCGTGTCATTCGAAGCATTCTTCGTGAAAAAGTCACTGATATGGACAAATGATCCAATATTAGTTGACGAATCGATGAAGTTAATGTTATTCGTCGTATGTCTAAGCCAAAGGAAAGATCAAAGTTCCAAAAGACGTTGAAGAATCTATTAAAGCCAAGGAAGAACCTCCACAGTTCATCCCAAAGCTTCAAGGCGTTTGTCACAATTTTCACCAAAGCATCAACCCATCCTTCTTCGATCCAAAAGTCAAAGGGAGACGCCGCCAAAAAACGTTATGGAGCACCAATCCACCTCCTCAAAGATCAAAGCCTGGGATCATCAAAGGAAGATATTAAATCCAAAGCCGATGATTAAATTCGCCTACACGGAGACCAAAATCCTCCAAAAGTCGGAAAAGTCAAATCAAGGCTCAAATTCGCCAAATTGAATTAAAGATCAAAGACGTCCAAAATACGGCAAAGCCAAACCGAAGACCAAATTCCTTTGAATCGTCCAAAGAAGATATCAAATCCAAAGTTTACGATCAAATTGTCTGCACGGAGACCAAAACCCTCCAAAGTCCGGAAAAGCCAAACGAAGACCAAATTAATTCGGATCGTCCAAAGAAGATATAAAATCCAAAGTCGACGACTGTATGGAGATCAAAGTCTTCTAAAAGCTGGTTTAGCCAAACTGAAAACCAAATTTTTTCGGATCAAAGAAGCCATCTAAATCAAAGTTGAAATACAAATCGATCCGAAAATAGAATCAAATGACCCATTTTTCTTTTAGAGAAATATGATCCATTTTAAATCCAAATCAAATATAATTTATACAAATTTCTTATTTATTAAAAATAACACAAATGTTTATCTACACATATATAAAATCATAGAAGCCAACACACAAATATAGTCCCTCCATCGTATAATTGTGTGCTTATTTGATTGAGTACGAATTTTAATGAAAATAAATAATAATTATAACTTTTTATTTTTTACCATAAGAAAATTTTAAAAAAAGTGATGTACTCTTTACTAATAGTTATATATATATTTTTTGTAACAATCTAAAACAAAATGAATATAAATTTAAATGATAGAGGAAATATAAATGATCAAATATTTTCATACCCTTAGCAAAAATATTCTAGTTGGGATCAATGTAATCATAATAAAAATTTATTAAAAAAAAGAAATATATGATGGAGGTGTTAAGCCAACTATTTTTTCAATGTGTTTCACATTTAATATTATAAAAATATATAAAAAACAAATATATAAAGTATTTAACTAAAAAAATTGTGCAAATATGATTTAAAACAATAGAATTAATAGGAAATGAATAAAAAAATCAATACAAAATATTATTTTGCAAACATGATTTTCTTATATTTAGCATACATAAATACTTCAAACTCAAAATACAAAACAAACGCACATAATATTTTTAGTACAATATATTATTTGCAAACATGCTTTTCTTATATTTAGCATAAATAAATACTTCAAACTCAAAACACAAAACAAATTCACATAATATTTTTAATAAAGAAATACTCCATTTTTTTTAAAAAAAAAAAATGGATTACCCACTTTAGTTTCATTTAAAGTTGCCTAACTTATAATTATTTTTTTAATTTCAATTACAGTAAATAGTTGTGTTAATTTATAATTATTTGAAATTTTGGTATTGTAAATAGAAGACGATAGATAGGCGGGACGGGACATTGGCAATAATTTACTAGGACTGGTATATATAAACAAAAACATACAAACACAAGTACACAACCCAAAGAATTTTGTGTGTATAAATAAAACCCCATATAATGGGGAAAAAGTAACTGCAGAGGTTTCCCGTGAGAGGGTCTGGCCGGGTCACAGGGAAGAAAGAAATTACACACACACACACACAGACACAGAAGAAAGAAGTAGACTGACTTCATCACTGCACTCTCATATCTGCCCGCTTCCATTTCATCATCATTCATCATTCCTGCTTTTCCAATAAATTTCGGGAACCTAATTTCGATCATCATCGATTTCAGCTCAGATCCGCGTGGGTGTTCCTTTCAGGTACGAGTTCAAAAGCTTTAATCAGTCACTTGGCTGGGGAGAAAGAATAGCTGCAAATATGTTGGTTTTCTCATTAGTTTAATCGTGTTTGTCTCTCTGATCTGCAACACTTTGCTTGCTTCTTCGGCACTCACTTCAATATATGTGTTTATATTATATGTATATTTAGAGAGAGATATTCTTTTCTCGGCTTTGGGGTTGTTTTTTGCATTCTCCAACACGCGATCTATTTGTACTTTTTATCTGTAATTGAGATTGAAGAAGTGATTGTTGTGCTTTGAGTTAGTGATTTGTGGAAGGTGTGCTGCAATGGAGGCTTGCTATGCAACAGCAGCTCTGAAATCCAAAGGTTATTCTTTGGGGAATGCGAGTAAAGAGCTCTTGAATGGACGAACAAGCTGCTTTTTGGGTGAGAAGATTAAAGGCGGTTACAACAACAATAATAAGAATTTGAGGCTTGGAGAAAAGGAGATGAAGATGAAAATGAAAATGAAGAACAAACCTCCAGCAGGAGTTGCTTACTCTGTTTTCACTAGACAAACGAAGGAATCTCTGCAGGTCTCCCCCCATCTTTCAGTAGTAAATTTTGTTATATTTATTTGAATCTTGTAGCTAGATGCTAATCATGGATTCGGTTTTGATTTGCAGAGAGTTGAATCTCCGATGTTGGAGAGGGAGAGGCGACGGGCGGATCCGAACAACGTGGCGGCGATCATACTCGGCGGCGGTGCCGGGGCGCAGCTCTTTCCTCTCACCAGCCGAGCGGCCACGCCTGCGGTGCGTTTGTCTGTCCATTCAATTAAATAAACACAAACACTGAATAATCTGTATCTGTTTATAGTTTGTAGTTGAACTTGAGAAGCCGATGACTGAGACTGACTGATGAAAACAGTACTCAATTAACTAAACACGGGCGTGCGCGTGTCTTTGTGTGTGTGTGTAGGTTCCGGTGGGTGGATGCTATAGGCTGATAGACATCCCGATGAGCAACTGCATCAACAGTGGGATCAACAAGATCTTCGTGCTCACGCAGTTCAATTCTGCTTCTCTCAATCGCCACATCTCCCGCACCTACACCGGCAATGGCGTCAGCTTCGGTGATGGCTTTGTTGAGGTTCCACCATCCTATTTCTTTCTTTATTCCTAACAAATATGAACGAACATAGATAGATAGATAGATACACAGATAGATCATTACATTTTTTGGTTTGGTTGCTTCATTGATAATTCATTAGCCTCCGAAGTCCTATTGTATTCTGCAGGTTTTGGCTGCAACTCAAACGACAGGGGACACCGGGAAGCGGTGGTTCCAAGGGACAGCCGATGCTGTCAGGCAGTTCATCTGGTTGTTTGAGGTGATTCAATTTCGCCATCCGGATGCATCGTGGGGTTTCGATTTGGATATTGCTTATTTATTGATTGTTGCTCTGTTCGTTCGCAGGATGCCAAGTCGAAAGATATCAACAACATATTGATTCTGTCAGGGGATCATCTTTATAGAATGGATTACATGGATTTCATCCAGGTTCGCGCGCGCACTCTCTCTCTCTCACACACACACACACACGTAGATTCGACATTTGACTTCCAAGTTACTCAATTAACCCTTGCTGATTGTGCCTTGCAGAACCACATTGATCGGAATGCGGATATTACCCTTTCATGCGCGCCAGCAGGCGACAGGTTTCGTGTAGTCAAATAGTTACTGCCTCTGCCTTAACAAGACAAGCATTCTAACAATTAGCTATATATATGTCTCAGTCGAGCATCAGAGTTTGGACTGGTGAAGATCGATAGCAGAGGCCGAATAACTCAATTCTCGGAGAAGCCAAAGGGCAGCGACAAGAAAGCAATGGTATTTGCATTCCCGAATATTATTGTGAATCACTCTTGCCGAATTGCTTGCTAAATTTCTTGTTTCTGCAGCAAGTAGACACGTCGATTGTCGGATTGTCTGCACAAGAAGCTTCCGAATCTCCATACATCGCATCGATGGGAGTTTACGCTTTCAGAACAGACGTGCTGTTGAATCTCCTGAAGTGGAGGTACCCGATGTCGAATGACTTTGGGTCCGAAATAATACCTGCAGCGGTGGAGGAACACAATGTGCAGGTTTGAGATTAATCTTACTAGAAGATTGCTTTTACCGTTTGTTTTTGTCATTGCTTGACGATTAGGTTCAATTTCACAATACCGGCTCCCGTTCGTTGTAGGCATATGTATTCCGAGACTACTGGGAAGATATTGGAACGATAAAATCGTTCTACGATGCTAATCTAGCTCTTGTGGATGAGGTTAGATTGAATGAAAGGCTACGGTGTTTTTGATTTCTTTGGTTTTTTTTTTTTTTCCCCCGACTAGTTTAGTGTTGTTGTTTTGTGTATGTAGTTTCCTAAGTTTGAGTTTTACGATCCGAAGACTCCTTTCTACACGTCTCCGCGCTTCTTGCCACCTACTAAAATCGACAATTGCAAGGTGAGGCTGGAAGTAGTGTGGTTATCATTGAGATGATTTAAGACATCTATGATCAACGTTGTAGCATTCTAAATTTTTTGGAATGGATCTGAGTTTGCAGATTAAAGATGCGATAATCTCGCATGGGTGCTTCCTAAGGGAATGCATGGTCGAGCATTCGATTGTTGGCGAGCGCTCTCGGTTAGATTCTGGTGTTGAGTTGAAGGTGATCATACGTACATATGTATATGCTTTTAGTTTTGGAGTAGGATGTGAGATGATTCATTGAGGAATTTGTTTTTGGTTTGCTATTAATTAATAGGACACATTGATGATGGGAGCTGATCACTACCAAACCGAGTCAGAAATTGCGTCGCTCTTGGCGCAGGGGAAAGTCCCAATCGGTATCGGAAGAGATACAAAAATCAGGTATCGCTCTAAGACTATAAAATAAACTCGAGTCGCGATACATGCACGCACGGCGCACGCACATACATAGAATAGAATAGAACACAGCACAACACCGTTGTTGTTCTAATCCTAATCGATTCATTAATGCATGCCGTTTTTGTACCACCACCTACAGCAACTGTATAATCGACAAGAACGCGAGAATCGGCAAAAATGTGACAATCAGGAACAAAGATGTAAGTGTTATTGAAATCAGCTAGCTAGCTCGCCTTTGGAGGTGTGGTGTAAAAAGAGACACAAAAATGCAATGCAGGGTGTTGATGAAGCTGATAGAGCACAGGAAGGATTCTACATTCGATCGGGGATCACGGTCATAGCGGAGAAAGCGACGATAAATGATGGAACAGTGATATGAAATCACAACAAGTTTGTGGTGTGATGACAACTAGCGAACTAACCTTGGCTGCCTCATACCATTACATTACAGTATGATGGAAGGAAGAGATAATAATAATAACAGTAAGTAACTTACTTGTCACCCTATACTATGCTAAATAAAATGAATGAATGCTTGCTTTTAATCTCTCTAGTAAAGGGACAAGTGGTTAATAAGAAGCTGTGTTGTGTTGTATGCGTGATGGATGGATAAATCAAACTTATAATGCTTTGGGTGCCAATCCCGAACCCCTCTCTCAAAATTAATGATTGGATGTAGAAATTTCCCCAGCAACCTCCGAGTTAGAGAGATAGTCAAGTTCGGGAATAAACAAGAGCCTGAGTATTTTAGGCCATCTATACCAAAGAAACTCTCCAAAAGTTTCTAAAAATTTCTACCTTATATTTATTTTCTTTTATTTCATAATTTCTTTTTTCCATCTCATTATATATTTTTTAATTTATATCAAAATAATTAATAATATTATTAAGTATAAATAAAATTATATCAATATATATAATTTTATAGAAAATAAAATTTTATATAATACAAAAATATAAAAAATAAAAATAAATAACTAAATAAATAATATTTTTTTAAAAAAAAAGTTTTTGTGGGTTGCTTTGCAGAGCAATCCATAAAAATTTTATGGTTTCTTTTAAAGATGTGGCATTGACGTGGAGGATGCTACAGGGATGCAGATGCCCTTAGTCGTCACTTTTAGCTTTGACCCAACAAATAAAAGAAAGCAAATTAAATTACACACGAATTGACTCTAAAAAGATATATATATATATATATATATTCGATAAAGAAGAAAAATAATATATATTATATATAAATATATATAGGAGGGTATACTGAGTGTATTTTATTAAGTAGAAATATATATCCTTGAAGACATATATATATATATATGAGAAGTTGTACGGATGATTACCCGTTATTACGTAAATATTTTTATTAGAGTAATATTTATTATTTTAAGCAGTTGTACTTAGCGGTAATATTGTAGGCAAAGTATAGGTAAATTTGTCAATTAACTCCCGTGTTGTCAGTTATACTGAGGATATTGGTTGTTGTTGAGGTTTGTGTTTTTCCAATTCCATTTGTTAATTTGTAGTGATTTACTTGTAGAAAATATATTGATAAGGATATCATTTGTAAATCGTAACATTTACTTTAATACAATAATTTAGTTATAATATTTTAAAGCTATGGTATATTAAAAAATCCATTTCAAATTAATGGAGGTACTTTCGAATTTGTTGGGTACGCAAAAAAAAAAATATTTACTGACCGGACGGTTGATCAATACATATATTTATATTGTATTATTTATTTATTGAAATTTTAATTTACGCCTGACTGGACGGTTCACCTCCTATTCCTTCATATAATGTAATTTCTAAAAAATATTTAGAAATTACAAATATATTAATTTATATAAAAAATAAATTCTTTAAAATTGATTGGTTATAACCCAAAAACAAAAGGTTATATAATTTATTATAATTTATTTGTGCCTGGATGGACGGTTCACCTCCTAATTCGACCAAATCAACCGCCTTTTCTCCGGTTCCCATAGCAACCGACTATACGTTTCTATTCGTACTATCTGATCAACTCGGTCAGAAACCTTTATTTTTTCTCATTCTCTCTCACAATGGTTTATTTTAAAACTAGACGGTTGTTCAATACATATATTTATATTATTTATTTATTGAAATTTTAATTGGCGGCCGACTGGACGGTTCACCTCCTGCTCCTTCATATAATGTAATTTCTAAAAAATATTTACAAATTACAAATATATTAATTTATATAATTTTGTACACAATAAAATTTTTATATTACAAAAAAAAAGTATAATGTAAAAGAATATTTTTAGAAAAGAAAAAAAAAATTCTTTAAAATTGATTGGTTGGACAGTTATAACAAAATAAAATTGTTAAATAATTTATTATAATTTATTTGTGCCCGACTGGACGGTTCACCTCCTTCTCAGTCGACTAAATCAGCCGCCTCCTCTCATGTTCCATAGCAACCGACTGTACGTTTCTGCTACTTCCATCTGACCAACTCGGTCAGACACCTTTATTTTTTCTCAGTCTTTCTCATAATGGTAATTTTTTATATTATAAAAAAAAAGACCGTCACAAACGACAAGACGGCTCTCCTCATTTCATCCGACCAATTCGGTCAAACATATTTCTTTTTTTTTTCATTTTTTTTGTCTATTCTCTCATTCTCCTCATAAGGGTTTATTTATTTAAATTTATATATTCATATTCATATAATATAATTTTAAAAATTTATTTAGAACTTTCAAATATATCAATATATATAATTTTGTACATAATAATTTTTTTTATAATATATACAAAAATAAATAAACAAAGGTATAATATAAAAGAATATTTAAAAAATAAAAATAATAATTTTAAATGATTGGTTTTGACCGTTATAAAAAAATATAGATTTTGATATAATTTATTGGTGTCGTACTGGACGATTCACCTCATTCTCATTCGACCAAATCAGCGGCCTTTTCTCCTGTTCCCATAGCAACCGATTGTATGTTTATGCTCGTTTCATCCGACCAAGTCGGTCAGACACCTTTATTTTTTTTTCATTCTCTCTCATAATGGTTTATTTTTAAAGTTGTACAACGTATATTTATATTATTTATTTATTGAATTTTAAATTTGCGGCCTACTGGACGGTTGACCTCCTGCTCCTTCATATAATGTAATTTCTAAAAGTAATTTAGAAATTAAAAATATATTAATTTATATAATTTTCTACATAATAAAATTTTTATAATACTTGAAAAAAACAATTAGGTAAACAAAAGTATAATATAAAAGAATATTTTTAAAAAAGAAAAATAAATTTTTAAAAATTAATTGGTTCGACAGTTATAAAAAAATAATGTTATATAAATTGTCTGTCTAAGGTTTGATTTAATTAATTTTTTCCTGTTTTAAGTCTATGGTGCAAATTTGTGGATCAGTGATCGATAAAATAGGATAAATTTAAGGTTAGAGGTTACACTTTTATATACAAAGTTGGATAGTTTCAACATTTACAAAAGAAGGGCCCTGAGGGCCATTCGTAAGTCTGCCAATTTCTATTCAGACCGGGCCGACCTCCGCTGTTGGAAGACATATATATATATGAGAAGTTATACGGATGGCTATCTCTTATTACGTAAATGTCCTTATTAGTGTAATATTTGTTATTTTAAGCGGTTGTACTTAGTGGTAATATTGTAGGCAAGTATGGGTCAATTTGTCAATTAACCCCCGTGTTGTCAGTTATACTGGGATATTGGGTGTTGTTGAGGTTTGTGTTTTTCCAATTCCATTTGTTAATTTGTAGTGATTTACTTGTAGAAAATATATTGATATAGATATCATTTTGTAGATCGTAACATTTACTTTAATACAATAATTTAGTTATAATATTTTAAAGCTATGATATATTAAAAAATCCATTTGAAACTAATGCATGTATTTTTGAGTTTGTTGAGCATGCAAAACAAAAATATTTGTAGCTGACTAGACGGTTGATCAATATATATTTATATTATATTATTTATTTATTGAAATCTTAATTTGCACCCGACTGGACGGTTCACCTCCTACTCCTTCATATAATGTAATTTCTAAATAATATTTAGAAATTACAAATATATGCATTTATATAAGGGTAAACTGTCTTTTTAGTCCCGTAACTGGACCCGCTTATCATTTTAGTCTCGTAAGTGGAGCATGTCGCAAACTAGTTTCATAAGTGGAAAATTTTTGTTGTTTTAGTCCTCCGGCGCCGGAGAGGCCTGCGTGGCTCGCCGAAAGCCACGTGTCCGCCAGGTGTCCCGCCAGGTCAGCGACACCTGGCGGATACGTGGATCTTCAGACACCCCAACCATCCAAGCGGTGCTTCCTAACTTTGCAACCAATTGGCCCGAAATGAACGATCCATTGGCCCATCGCACATGTATTCCATTCTTGCCGAATTGTACTGCCAAATCTCCAAATACCCAATTTGACCCTACGGGCCCAACTTGTCCTTGTGAGTCCATGGGGAGAAACCCTATATTCCATTTTTTCGTATCTCAACAACTTGCCGCCCCCTAGAGAATGTCAAGAGTCACATCTCAAGGGCGGTGAATGTCGATATGACAACTTTTTTCTTCTCTCCCAGGTCTGCAAAATATTATTACAATGTTCAAAAAGGGGAGGGAAAGATTAAAACCTTTCATCACCCACATTCTTCATCCTACCTCTTCCAAAACTCCTGTTGAACATCCAACGCACCTTTCTCACCACTTCACTTCAACTTTTTGTGAATTAGGTACTCAAACTTCCATGGAGAACACAACCCTCATTCTGTTTGATGGATCCGCTCCTCAGCCACTCTGACCGACCTGGAGGTCATCCTCATGATCCCATTCCAGTTCCAAATCATCATCTGGTCAGATTGGACCCAGACAACATTGTGCACGTTCTGAGGGTCCATTTCGGTATGACTCCACAAGTTACCAATAGACCCGCATATCAATGGCCATTCCCTGAGTGGGTCATCAATGAGCATCCCCTTCCCAGGAATTATCGACCACCTGACTTTTACGCATTCTCGGGAGAGGATGGGTCCTCTACTATTGAGCATGTGGGACGCTTTACGGCCCAATTAGGTGAAATCAGTAACAATCCATATTTTAAATTGCAGTTGTTCGGTTTGTCTCTGACCAAAACGACTTTTTCTTGGTTTGATAATCTACCACCTGGGAAAATATACATACGGGAATGATTGAAGACACTCTTTCATGCTAGGTTTTTCAATCATGTTCCAATGGTGTCTCTAACTGATTTATTGAAAATGTGACAGATGCAAGAAGAATCTGCTGCGCAGTTTATAGAAAGGATTCGGTTGATGAAGGGCAAATGTCCGACTGTGATAGAGGAAAAAGAGATGAAAAATCTGTTGGTTCAAAACATGCATAAACGGCTACGAGAGGCACTAACCGCTCATGAGGTAGAAGATCTAGCTAGTCTAGCGTCTAAAGCTGGGCTGTTGGATCTTTATTTAGGGAAAAAGATCAGAATTTTCGATGCCAAATATGGTCAATAGATGGCTAGCATGGAAATAGAATCATATGCCCTAGATGTGGACCCAGTGTTGGAAGCACCGGAAGAAATAGTCAATGGGAAACCATA